TCTGTAAAACCAGCCATTGAAAATCCTGTGGAGCACGTGGTCTCCTCAGACACTCATGGGGTCACTCCCTGACAACTAGTGTTTTAGACAAATAGTGTGCCCTTACTGTGTGCCAGACTCTGCTGGCTTGAAGAGTGTGTAAGGAATAAGACTGTATGTGTACCTTATAGTCCAGCAGGGGAGATAGCACACCAATAAGTGAGTAGATAAATAATACGGTAGTAAGGCTCTATAAGGTATCCTGGTGTGGCGCTGTGGGTTAATGCGCCAGACTGCAAAGCCGTTTGAACTTCAAGGACAGCGGTTCAAGCTCACCAGCTGCTCCTTGGTATACAGGGTTGCTATGGGTCGACACCAACTCGATGGCACTTGACAACAACAAAGGCTCTGTAAAGGAGCTCTGGTAGCTTAGTGGTTACGAATCGGGCTGCGAACTACAAGGTCAACAGTTCGAAACTACCAGCCATTCTGCAGGAGAAAGATGAGGCTTTATGCTCCCATAAAGACTTACAGCCTTGGAAACCCTGTTCAGGGTCGCTATGAGTCAGAACTGACTCCAAGGCACATAACCACCACCACCAAGGCTCTGTAGGATAAGTACTAGACTGCTAACCACAAGGTTGGTGCTTCAAACCCACCAGCTGCTCCTTGGAAACCCCTATACCAGGGCACTATGAATTGGCACTTAACAACAACAGATAGTAAAAGGAGTTCCTGGGTGGTGCAAACCCTTCATGTGCTCAACTGCTAACCAAAAGATTGGAGGCCCTCAGAGGTATCATGGAAGAAAGCCCTTTCAATCTACTTCTGTAAAACCAGCCATTGAAAATCCTGTGGAGCACGTGGTCTCCTCAGACACTCATGGGGTCACTCCCTGACAACTAGTGTTTTAGAGAATAAGGACTCTGGGACAAAAATCAAATAGGAGATAGAATTGGAGAGAGAAGAGGCCATTGTAACTGTAGTGGTCAAGACGGGAAGGGCTGTCTGAGGAGGTGCCGTTGAAGCAGAAACTTGAATTGAGAGAGCAGGCTGTATGCTAAGAAAGGAAGGGTGTTCCAGGAGGCACAGAGCACAGAGTAGCCCTGGGGAAGGAGTGTTGGGCACGTTCAGGGAGCAACAAGAGGACTTTGAGGCGGGAGTAGTGGGGACAGGAGGCTGCGTTTCTCAGTCACTTTCATTACCAGCCCCTCCATGTGATTTTACTGCCACAGGTATGCTGTATTTCGGTGTACTCTATGAAAGGGGTAAGATTATTTTACCCCCAAGAGCCAGCTGTTTCTACCCTGGGGGCGGTATCATTCCTGTTGATAGTACTTAACTGCAGAGCTTCATAAGCAACTCTAAGGAGTCCAGGTGATGCTGTGATTAAAGGCTTGGCTGCCAGCTGAAAGGTGGATGGTTTGAACTCAGCCAGCAGCTCCATGGGAGAAATCCCTGACAATCTGCTTCCATAAGGATTATTGTTGTTAAGTGCTGTCAAGTCAATTCAGACTCATAGTGACCCTGTAGAGGGTTTCTGAGGAGCAGCTGGTGGGTTTGAACTGCTGATGTTGCAGTTAGCAGTCCAGTGCTTATCTGACAGTGCCACACCAGGACTCCATAAATATTACAGCTTAGAAAACCCCATGGTGTGGTTCTCTTCAGTCTCGTGGGGTCACAGTAAATCAAAACTTCCTCTCTCTCTCACGCAGTAACCCCTTTTCTCCCTACCTGCCCTGTTGCCATCCTGGCCCCAGCCCCCATATTAGCCTCCCATCTGGCTGCCTTGCATCCACTCGTGTCCTCCCAGAGCCTGTAGTGTAGCAGGTGCCCATGGTGGAGGAAGCAGATGGACTAGAGGATGTGCTTGGGCTATCTCTGTGGGTTCTGTGAATGGATAGATGAGGGTGGGACATTGGGAGAGGCACTCGGCCCTCTACCAGAGGTCCCACATAGTCAGCATCAGCAGGGCATATCCAGGTGAGGTACATGAGAGTGGGGGCCATGAACATGAACTCCTGATGGAGACAGACCTCCTGTCCATGCCTCATCCTTCATTCTCCCCCGGCCTGGCTTCCTCCTGGTGCAAGTCACCAGCAGACACCTGGCTTCATCTCCCTCTTGTCTCCTGGGTTCAGTGTCCTTCCTCACCTGGAGTGAACAGTAGATACGACCCTTTTAGCAGACGTTGCTGAAGGTCGACTGTGTAGGGTAGAAAGATGACTAAGGCTTGGGCTAGGCAGGCATCACAGCCCCCACTTCACTCTGTACTGAACTTGCTCCAGCCTGGAACTCAGACATAGCTCCCTCCAGACAGGCTTTCCTACCCAGCCCTGCCTCCCTTCATGGCCCCCACAAGGTGAGTGACACTCCTCTCATCCCCTCTCAAGGCTTCCTGGTCCAGATATTCCTGGGATGTCTTCCTGCTGGTGTTTCTATCTGGAAGCATCATGAAAGCAAGACCTGTGTGTGTCCTGCCCATGGCATTCTCCACACCCCACCCAGCAGCCATGATTCCAATTTATAGGAGCCCAGGTCTTTGGGTCTTTCCGATTGCAGAATGCAGTTCTGCCTTGTTAGTTTTGTTTGAACTGCCAACCTATCTATTAGCAGCCAAGCACTTAGCTGTTGTGCCACTAGGGCTGCTTCACCACAGAGTAAGCTCAAAACTCACTGTTGTCAGTTTGATCCAGCTCATAGTGACCCTGTTTAGGGTATCCAAGACTAAATCTTTCTGTGGGCAGAGTTGTTGTTGTTGTTAAGTGCCGTTGAATCAGTTCTGACTCAGCGACCCTATATAGGGTTTCTGAGGAGGAGCGGCTGGTGAGTTTGAACCTCCGACCTTGTGGTTCAAACCTTGACTTTGCAGTAAGGCGTGGCGCTGTGTAGGTGACTTAATAAATGTTTTCTGAGAAACCAGTGGCCCCAATACCCAGGTTGTGGGAGCTCGGAAGAAAGAGGCTCAACTCTCCAAGAAGCAGGGAAGGCTGTGTGTGTAGGACAAGTCCTCTTCCCCTGTGGTGATGCCCAGTTGTCAGGGAAAGGGGACCATTCTGGGCTCCAGAGCTCACTGTAATTAGCTCAGCCTAGCTGTTGGCGTCAGAGCCTTTTTTTGAGTCTCTTATCTGGTTGGCCTTGGGGCACTGGAGGAGGAGGAGATGCCAGGCTTTCTCAAGGGCAAGAACACAGAGTCGCCTCCCCAGTGCTGGCCCTGGCATCTCAGGGTCATGGTCAGATGTGGACAGAGATATACTACTTCCGCGGCCTGGTAAGCAACTACAATTCTTTGGTTTTCCCTCCCAAGAAAGTTGTCGCCATAGAAAGAAAGCCTATGGGCCCAGTTTCCAGGAAAGCTAGCTACCCTGAGGTTGTCCATCCTCCCATCCTGGGCAGGGAACTTGGCTCACCGCCTCCAAGTCTGCCCTCCTTGCTGGCCTCCTTCTAGAGGCCTCTTCTCTGCTCCAGTGGGCCCTAGGGTCACACAGGGGCTTCCAGGGCTTGACCAACACGGTGCTTGCATGTGCATGCTGCCTGGTCCATCCACGGGGAGCAGTCTGTATCTGCTAATCAGACAAATTAATTTCCTCCTTCCCAAACATCTTCATGGGGGAGGTAGAGTTTGGGGGAGTCTGTGAAGGAAGACTCAATGAGGAGCCCCCCAGGGAAGGAGCAAGCAGAACAGATGAACTCAGTGGACTGAGAGAACCTGGCATGGGGAAGAGTGGGTCTTGGGGATAAAGGCCCAGGCGCAGGAACCTGAGTCCCTGGATGCCACAAATACTTCATCACTTGCCTACTATTGGAAGCTTAGAGATTTGAGTGTACCAGGAGTAGAAGAAAGGTTGATCATCTGCTTCCCAAATCAGCCATTTAAATCCTATGGAGCACAGGTCCACTCTGATTCACATAGGGCTGCCATAAGTTACAGTCAACTCAATGACAACTGTTTTTTCCCATGGGCCCGAAGAGCAGGACCTGGCCACCTTCCTCAGTGCAGATGGGACGCTCCGCAGGCTGTGCGCATGCAGGAGTTGCCTCTAGCAGGTGGCATCTGGAGCAGGGAGAAGGGGAACAAGAGCCACTGGGGTCTGGGTGTAAGGTCTGAGATGCCCCACTGAGGATGAGGGTGCTGTTTGCCAGAGCTGGGAAGAGCCCTTGGAGTTACTGAGAGTCTGATGGATGTGCCCAGCCTTTCTAAGGAGGATACAAAGTAAATTGATAATGAACAAGACCTTTAAAGCTTCCACCCAACTCCAGTGTTTGAGACAAAGAAAGGTCATCGAGGATCTGAAAACCATGACCTATCTTTGTTCTTTGTGCCAAGTAGTGTGTGCCGTGTATTGGCTGGCAAGGGGAGTAGACAGGCCTAATGCTGGGTGGGTCCATGCTGCCAACCCAGGAACACGTCGGTCCACAAACCTGCCCAGCAGGGAGAAGCGTGGTAGAGTCCTCTTCTTTGCAATCAGCCAAGATTATGGAGAGGGCAATGTTGCCTCCACGGTAGAATGCTTGCCAACCACGCAGGAGACCCTGGTTCAATTCCTAGCCACAGTAGACCTCATGCACAGCCACCAGTGGAGGCTTGCATATTACTGTGTTGTTACACAGGTTTCAGTGAAGCTTCCAGACTAAGATAGACTAGGAAGACAGATTTGGTGATCTGCTTTCAAACATTAGCCAATGAAAACCCTGTGAGTGATAACTACCCAACCCACAACTGATTGTGAGGCTGGTGCCAGGCTGGGCAGTGTTCTTGTTCCATTGTGCATAGTCCCACTATGAGTTGGGGGCAGACTTGAGAGCCGCAGCAACAGAATGAAGAACTGTCTCCAGCCTGCTAGACTCTGCCCAGGGGCATTCATCTACATGCTGTGACCAAGTTCCTCTCCACTGCAGGGGCCATAGCTCTATTAGGGACAGCCGTGAACACTGAGGCTCTGAGAAGCATGACTCACCCAGGGCCACCCTGTGGGCAAATGAGGGAAGCTGGCAAACTCTACTATCCCTTGTGATTCCAGAGAACTCCACAGCCAGCATGAGTGAGGCAGAGAGGAAGGCCCAAGTATACTACCGTGCATGTATGAACGAAACCAGGATCGAGGAGCTCAAAGCCAAGCCCCTGATGGAACTGATTGAGAAGGTGAGTGCCTGACCACCTGCCCCAGCTGTTAGGTACCATGGGGCTCTGCCCACTCACCCTGAGCTGGACCAAGGCTAGGGAGCCTGTCTGCTGACGTGTTCGAGTTGTATGTGGGTGTATTTACGCATCTCTGATGTATGGGTGAGAAGGTCTTGTGTGTGTGTTTGGGTGGGAATGTGTGTCAGCATCTGCTGTGGATGTCTGTCATATGTCTGTGTGTGTCTCTGGGCATCTGTGTGTGTGTTGGGGGCGGGGTGAGGGGAGTGCCATATTTACAGGGAAAACATTCCTCTGTGTTGTTGTTTTCCTTTCCTCTTGATTGTGTTTTTGTGTATGGAGGAATGTGGGGGGTGTTGGACCAGGCACAGAGCCCTCCCTTGGAGCCTCTCTTTCCTCCTGAGCAGAGAAGGAGTCTTTCTTCCTGGACACCTCCCAGCTGGCCCTGAGTGCCCTATGAGGGCTGCAGAAGGTAGCTAAGCTGCCTGGCATATACAGGGGTCTGGCTGCCGAGCACTCCCTCCAGAGCCCGCCTTCCTAGCTCGACTTGAGGCAGGTATTGCACAGGGGTTGGTGGCTGCAGGCCCTGGGACTGTCCCCATCCCATTTGTCATGGTCAGGACCCCACGTGCCAGAGTGAGGGAGGACTCAGGAGATGAAAAAAAAAAAAATCTAAAATCTGAGAGGAGTTAGAGTAGACCCTAACTTGTCAAACTTTTAAAAAAAATACAGTCCTTTTTTTTCCCCCAGTAGGCAGAATTGAATTTATGTTTTAATAAGTATTACATTCATGTGGTTCAGTATTCAAAAATAATCATTTACAGGGGAAGTCTCCCTTCTGTTCCCTGTCTCCAGTCCCCCTACCCTACCCATAGGGCATAGTAGCCACCACATGGACTCAATGGTTTGCTTGTCTGGAGTAAGTTTTTGTTCCCTACCCAGGGATTCCTGACTGTCTGGTTAGAAACCCTAATGAAAACTATCCCTTTTGTTACTCTTGTGGTTAGATACCATGGAGTTGGTTCTGACTCAGTGAGTGACCCCGTGTCCCAACAGAACAGAACAGTGCTCAGTCCTGCACCCGCTTCACAATCATTACTGTGTTTGAATTTGTTGTTGCCACTGTGTTGATCCACCTCATTCAAGGACTGCTTCTTTGTCTCTGACTCTCTACCAAGCGTGGTGTCTTTTTCCATGAACAGGTCCATCCTGATGACATGTCCAGAGTACATGAGACAAAGTCTTGCCTTTCTCACTTCCAAGGAGCATTCTGCCTGTACGTCTCCCAAAACAGATTTGTTCATTCTTCTGTTGTGTGCTATTGCGTCACTTTCTAACCCATAGCAATCCTGTCTAGGGTTTCCAAGACTATAAATATGTATGGGAGCAGAAAGCCTCATCTTTCTCCTATGGAGCAACTGGTAGACTCTAACTGCTGAAATAGCCCAATGCTAACCCACTACACTATTGGTGTTGGTGGTTGTTATGTGCCGTTGAGTCGATTCCAACCAACAGCAACCCTGTATAGGGTTTCTGAGGAGCGGCTGGTGAGTTTGAACCACCGACCTTGTAGTTCAAACTGGCCTAGCTTATTGAGTGCTACATCAGGACTCCTATTGAAAAATATTTCAATATTTCTCACTAACACCACAATTCACAGGAATCAGTTCTTCAGTTTTCCTTATTCATGTCCAGCCTTCACAAGCATAAGAGGTGATTGAAAATACCATAGCTAAGGTCAGGTGCGTCATAGTCCTCAAAGTTGACATTTGTACTTTGTAATACTTTAAAGAGGTCTTTTGCAGCAGATTTGTCCAATGCAATACGTCTTTTGATTTCTTGACCCACCTAAAATGAAATCTTTTAAGCATGAATATCTTGTCCATTTATCATGATGTTATTTTTCGGTCCAGTTGAGAAGAGTTTTCTTTATGTTGAGGTGTAATCCATTAGTAAGTGCTTTTAGTCCTCTTTGTTTTCAGCAAGCAAGGTTGTGTCATTTGTCTATTCAGCCCAGCTTCATCTGACATCAGCAATGATAGCTCTCATTCTGTGTCCACTTCTGAATCCAGCTTCAATTTCTGGTGGGTCACTACTGATATAATACTGTTTTTAAATTATCTTCAGCAAAATTTAGTGTGCAACATTAATGATATTGTTTGATAATTTCCACATCCTGTTTGATCACCTTTCTTTGGGATGCGCACAGATATGGATCTCGTCCAGCCAGTTGGCCAATCAGCTGTCTTCTAAGGTGTAGCACTTGTGGATGCAGCAGTCGAGAAATCAAGACAAATTGCATTAGTCAAAAAAAGAGGAAGACCTCCTACAAGATGGATTGGCAGCAATGGGCTCAAGCTTAACAATTGTGAAGATGGTGCAGGACTGGACAGTGTTTCATTCCATTGTGCTTCGGGTTGCTATGAGTTGGTACCAACTTGATGGCATCTAACAGCGATAAATGTTTGTTGGTATAGACTAGTGAGTATTCCAGGGTTGCATCCATTTGTTGAAACATCTCAATTGATAATTCATGAATTTTTAGAGCCTTGTTTTTCTCCAATGCCTTCAGGACAGCTTGGACTTTTTTCTTCAATACCATTGGTTTGTGATCATATGCTGTCTCTTAATGGTTGAGCATTGACCGATTCCTTTGTAACAGTGACTCTGAATATCCCTTCCATCTTCTTTTGATGTTTTCTGTATTGTTCAATATTTTACCCTCAGAGTCCTTCAATATTACTACTGATTACTGACACTGAAGCCATGAATTTTTTTCCTTCAGTTCATTTAGCTTGGGAAATGCTGAGCGTGTTAATCCTTTTTGGTTTTCTAATGCTAGTCTTTGTTCATTTCATTATAATGCTTTACTTTGTCTTGAAATGCCTTTTGAAATCATCCATTCAGTTCTTTTATTCCATTATTTCTTCCATTCACTCTTAGCTACTCTCTATTCAAGAGAAAGTTTCAAGGTCTCTCCGACATTCGTCTGGGTTTTTTCTTTAGAAATTGTCTTTTTAATGATCTTTTGCTTTCTTCATGAATTATGTCATCCCACAACTTGTCTGGTCTCCATTCATTAGTATTCAGTGCGTCAAATTTATGGTTGAGATAGCCTGTAAATTCAAGTGAGATACACTCAGGGTCATACTTTGGACTCATGGACTTGTTTTAATTTTGTCTTCAACTAAAGCTTGCATATGAGCAGTTGGTAGTCTGTTCCGCAGTTGGCCTCTGGCCTTGTTCTGACTGATAACATTGAACTTCTCCATTGTCTCTTCCCACAGATTTGTATTTTCCTTTGTATTCCATCTGATGAGGTTCACGTATATAGTCACCGTTTATGTTTTTGAAAAAAAGCTATTTGCAGTGAATGTCATTGGTCTTGTAAAACTCTAGCATGCAATCTCTGGCATCATTTCTATCCTAAGGACGTGTTTTCCAAATACCCATCTTTTTATTTTTCCAACTTTCCATTCCAATCATTAGTAATTATCAATACATCTTGACTGCATGTTTGATCAATTTCAGATTTCAGAAGTTTGGTTAAAATCTTCAGTTTCTTCATCTTTGTCATTAGTGTAAATTTGAATCATAGTTATATTACCTAGTTTTTCTTCTAGGTGTATGGATATTATCCTGTCTCTGACAACATTGTATTTCAGGACAGATCTTGAATTATTATTTTTTTTAATGATGAATGTGATGCCACTCCTCTTCAATGTATCATTTCTGGCATAGTAGACCACATGATTATCTGATTAAAAATGGCCATTACCAGTCCATTTCAACTAACCAGTGCCTACAATGTTGATCTTTATGCTTTCCATATCTATTTTGATGACTTCCAATATTCCTAGATTCATATCTCAAACATTGCACATTCCAGTTATTAATGGATGTTTGCATCTGTTTCTTCTCATTTTGAGTCATGCCACATCTGTCCTGAAAGCGATTCTACATCCGTGTGATTGAAGTCTGCTTTGAGGGAGCAGCTCTTCCCCAGTTTTATTTTGAGTGCCTTTCAACTTGAAGAGCTCATCTTTCAACATAGAGTAGACAGTGTCCCTCTGCTACTTTAAGCTTTTCACTGACCCATTTTTTAAGAAGTAGATCACCAGGTCCTTCCTTCCTAGTCTCTTCGTTTAGAAGCTGCACTGAAACCTTCCCACCATAGGTGACTGATGGTTTTGAAATGCTAACTGGCTGACAAGTGGTGGTGGTTACTCTTGAGATTTCTGAAACGCAGAGAGATCAGATGTCAAGTCAGCTGCAAAACCAGAACTCATACTGGGGTGTCTGAGGCCTCACCTACCTCATCCCCTCCCCACAGCTTGGGGGCTGGAACATCACAGGACCCTGGGACAAGGACAACTTCCAGGACACTCTGCAAGTGGTCACCTCCCACTACCGCACCTCTCCCTTCTTCTCTGTCTACGTCAGCGCTGATTCCAAGAACTCCAACAGCAATGTGATTCAGGTGAGCTGACGTGAAGTATGGGAAAGTGAGGACATGAGCCCATGGTCCATTTGGAGTTTAGCAAGAGCTGGAGTTAGAGTAGGTTTGCCCTGGGTGACAGACTCTTGGGTTTCTGAACCTAGGCTGTTTGTGGAAGCCCCCAGCTGAGAGATTTTTAACAACCAAGAAGTTATAAAAGGAAGTCAGGTGTCTTATGGGTAGCTGTGGGTCCCAGGAATGACAAGGCTAGAGACACCTCCTGGTCCTCTCACCTGAGCCTCTGGCCTCGGTGGTGCTGCTTGGCATGGTGGTTTTGAGTCTACCTCTTCCTGCTGACCTTGCCCCACACTGAGGACCACACTCCCAGGGGTACATAGCACTGGTCGACCCTACCCCCAGACACAGAAATGAAAACCCAGCCCATCTCTGTCCCTCACTCACTGTGTGACCTTGGCACATACCTCAACCTCTCTGAGCTCGGCTTTCCATGTCAGTCAGAAGAGTTCTAATCACAGGGTGGCACACGGCTACTGGGGAATTCACTCTCCCTTCCCGCCCAGTGTAGGGCTTTCACCTTTAGTATCGCCATGGTTCCTGAGTCTGCCTCTGAGGGTGAGATCTTAGTTCCCTATTCCCCAAATGAAGACCCTAAGTATCAGAAAGGCTAAGAAACTGGACCAGGATTACAGAGTGCACATGACTCTTGACCACAGCACCTTCTTGGGAGGTGTTTGGTGCTGGGTCAAGGCTAGCAGGTGTGTTAGGAGGAAGGTGGCTCTCTAACGCCATTCAGAAGGGACAAGAACTCCAGCTACCCTGAATGTGTCTGTCCCTTTCCAGGGAGGTCCACCCCAGTCGGGTCTTCTGATGCATGTGCCTGCCGGGGTGCGGAGGCTTTGTGGGGTATGCACATACTCTGAGGGGCTCCCTCTCACTGTAGCCTTTCTCTCCAGGTGGACCAGTCAGGCCTGGGCTTACCCTCCAGAGACTATTACCTGAACAAAACCGAAAATGAGAAGGTGGGTGTGCTCTTCCAAGAGTGAGCTCCTGAGTCCAGCCCACTGCCCATGAGGTTCCATCTCCCTCAGTGTCCACCTGTACCACGCTCTGAAAGAGGAGCTCAGAGGCACTTAGTATGGGAAGGATCCTCCCAGGCTGGCTGTGCCACATTCAGGCAGCATGGGTGCAGAAGGCAGGGGACAAATAGAATTTTCCCTAATGTAGAGAGACGTAGTAAAAACAGCCGCCACCAGGCGTAGATACTGGTCCTTTTATATACAAGGGAGCTTCAGTAAGTTTGTGGGGAAATTCCATTATCTTTCATTCTGTTTTTCTATGGGCTTTATCACCTCTAACCCTCCCAATAGCTCTTTAACTTCTCTGAGCTCCATTTGTCTCATCTGTCAAATGGGTATGATGTTGACCTTGCCTCTTCAGAGGAGGAAATAAGACTCAGAGATACTGAATGATCCGCCCAAGGTCACAGCCAGAAAGCGGTGGGGCTGGGATTCACATCCAGATCCACTCCCTCCCAAATCCTTACTTTCCTTCCCCTTGGCCTGATACTTGTGATGCCCTCCAGGAGACCTTGCTGGAGGTTGAGGTTCATTTATTTCACCCACTTGTGCTGAGCAAGGCCCACATGCCGCTGTCTCACAGAGCTGAAAGTCTTGTTGAGGTGCAGACATTAGCTAAGTAGCCATCCAGTAAAGTGTGTGATACAGAGAGCTGAGAAAGTTAAGCACGGGGCCTAATTCAGATCTGAGGCTCAGTGTCAGAGGGCAGTTCAAAAAAGGCTCGCTGTGTTCCTGGAACGGAGAGATGGCTGCCCCATTGCTGGCTTCATGGAGGAGTAGACGGGAGGGTGTGTGGGCTGGGACTTGTGGGTGTGAGAAAGAAGGCGATTGGGCTTCCCTCTGAGGGCCAGGAGTCACTGAGGGGTCACAGTGCCTAAAGTCTTTTCTTCTGAGCAAGTTCCCTGGGCTCCTTCTCTGTGCTGGATGGCAGCAGGTGGCAGCCACTTATGGTTTTGGGGTGCTGGGTCCCACAGGTGCTGACGGGATACCTGCACTACATGGTCCAGCTGGGAAAGCTACTTGGCGGTGGGGATGAGGACAGGATCCGGCCTCAGATGCAGCAGATTCTGGACTTTGAGACAGCGTTGGCCAACATCACCATTCCCCAGGAGAAGCGCCGGGACGAGGAGCTCATCTACCACAAAGTGACGGCAGCCGAACTGCAGGTACCTAGCAAGGCTGCCCCAGAGGCTGGGCCAGTCACAGGGCTACAGGACGTAGAGATGGACGGTGTGCAGGGCACAAGGAGGTGCTGTCATACCCATCAAATCCAGTTCCCTGCATGGTACAGTTTGTTCTTGGCTGCTAACCAAAAGATTGGCAGTTCACATCTACCCAGTAGTGCTGCAGAAGAAAGACCTGGCAATCCACTTCTGAAAGATTACAACTCTTAAAAAAATCCTATGTAGTTGTTCTACGCTGACACATGTGGTGCCACCGTGAGTCAGAATCGACTTGGGGTTGATGGACTTTTGTTCATCAAATCCTTGAGACAGCACTAGGTTTCAATCATTCAGGCCCCAAATCATAGAGCTTAGCCTGCAGTAAGCGCTAAATGCAAGATAAGCATTCTGTCATCACCTCCCTTTTCTAGGCCCGAGGTTAAGCTCAAAGCCTTAAGCCTCCTAAGTGACCGAGGAATTGGGAATCAAATTCAGACTTGGCTCACTGAAGCGCTGCTCTTAACCACCTCCCCTGGAAACATCTTGAAGTTTGTACAAGGGGAATCTGAACTGCAGTACTCTTCCTTAGGTCAGTCCGTCTTGTGCTGGCTGAACATCTGCAAGAAGGCTGCCCCCTGGTGGTTGCTGGAGACCTTGAGTTGATTGCCCTCCAGTTGCCTCAATCAGGTACTGGTATCCAGCCTAGGCTGGCCCCAGGACCAGAGGGACCTGCAGACTTGTCTTTGATCTATCTTTGGAGTCTTTCTGCCATTACCCAAGATACAAGCTAAGCCTTGCTCCTTCACCACCAGTATCTTCTCCCTACTTTCTGACCAGTCAAGTTCTGCCCATCTGTTAGAGTTTGGCTCATTCCCTGCCTCTTTCAGGAAGAACTAGACCCCAGCTTTTTTTTTCCTTCCTCCATTTCTCCTTCAGATAAATGTGTAGGGGCCTCACTGAGAGATGCAGATGAAACACTTGTATTTCCAAGCCTAGGGGGGCACAGCAGTAGGAAACAATAGTCTCATGGCTAAGTGTGTTGAGAAGAAGCAGGACATGGGAAGGCAGGGGTCTGGAGAAGTCAGGAAGGAGAGGTGGGCATCCCAGGCAGAGAAAGAGCCCAAGCAAAGGCCTGGGGAGGAAGGCAAGAGAACCTTGACTTCCTGCCAGCTGCCAGCTGCCCTTCGGGTCCCTAGAGAAGTTGGCATCAGGTTGAGTGGTGCTGAGGGGTTGTTGTGGAGATCAATAGCCTATGTGGGTGCCATCTGGCCCTGTTTTTCTGCTCCGAGACCAGGAAGTCCAGGGAGGTACTGTTTGTGCAGCAGTATTTGGTTTGCTCCAGCTCCCCACATACCCTGCTATGTATGTGTCTATCCCAAGAATGGCAGACAAGGCAAAATGGCTCTGAGCACATTGTCCCTACCAGATTCTACCCCCTGGCATCTCTCACCATTACTTTGGCTCTGCTCTTTTAAGCAAGAAAGGAATAGGCCTTCCCTGCCTCCTGGCTGCTCCATTCCCAGGGTAGGGGCACTTGGACAGAGGCAGCAGTTCAAGCGGTTGGAACATTGGTCTTGGAGTCAGAAGGCAATTCGGCCACTAGCTGGATGCTTTGGACAATGTCACATAACTCAGCTCTCGGAGTCCTAGAATCCTTCCATTTAAAATGGGACTTGGTTCATTCAGTCTCGTACTGAGCACCCGCTGTGTGTGCCAGGACACAGACATTCATGAGACACAGTCCCTGCTCAAAAGGAAGAGTAGTTCTTAACTTTTGTTATGTCAGAGTCCTTTGGGAATGGCTTGAAATCTATGGAATGTCTCTCATAAGAAAAAGGCTTATGTACATATAAAATAGGAACACTGTGGCTCTGTAGGATAAGCACTGGACTGCTAACCAAAAGGTCAGCGGTTCAGACTCAGCAGTTACTCCATGAGAGAAAGATGAGCCTTTCTGCTTCTGCAAAGATTTACAGCTTCAGAAACCCTGTATAGGGTCGCTATGAGTCAGACCTGAATGGATGGCACTTAACAACAACACATATAAAAGTAGATATCTACCTATTGCTTTACACGTACATATGTATGATTTTTAATATACTTCCTATTTAAAGAAGTCCATGGCCCCTGAAGGCACCTGGGTGACACAGTGGTTAAAGCTCTCAGCTGCTAACCAAAAGGTCAGCAGTTTGAACCCACCATCTGCTCCTCAGGAGAAAGATGTTGCAGTCTACTTCTGTAAACCTTTACAGTCTTGGAAACCCTATGGGGCAGTTCTACTCTGCTCTATACGGGTGCTATGAGTTGGAATCAACTCAATAGCGATGGGTGTGGACCCCTGGAAGCCTGGTATCCTGGGTAAACTCTCTGCCTGGCCCGGCCATGGGGTTGGGAGGGGATGAAATGAGAGGCCAAGAGGAGATTTCATCTTGTGACATGCAACAGACAGGCATAGCATGTTATTGTAATCATTAGATATTCCTTTGTTATGGGTGATGCCAGCTCAGTTCCCCCAGCACAAAACCAATTTGATTCATTCCACCGTGGAACAGAGAGTGCCTTGTTCTCGGGCATCTGGAGATTTTGTTTTCTTCCCGTAAGCCAGGTGGCTAGGGGAAAAGGCACGCCTGAGCTCACGGTGCAGTTTTTAGGCTAGCCCTGCTGGAGTGTAGCGTGGCTCCAGGCTAGCCTCCAGCACGGACTGATTTCAGAGTCATGGACTAGACATCCTTCTTTTGCTTCTCTGGGGGCCTGAGAACTTTCCATTCCTTTCCAAGATCTTCCACACTAAAGACCATTTGGGAATGAGCTCTAATCTCTGACCTCATTTCTCCAGCTGAGACAAAGCCCAAAGCATTCTTCTCTCTTCCTCTTCCAGCCTGAGGTTTTCCAGCCTGCTTGAGTTATTGATGGGTGAGCAGCGGGACGCGGGGTTGCAGAGGTGGAAAATAGAGATCATCTGTGTACCCCTGAGGATTTGAGTCACAGTGGAAGGTCTGAGTCAATTAAAACCACTATCTCTCCAGGGCCCACAGAGAAGGACTTAGGCAAGTTGTTTGGGAGTTCACCAAAGTATTAAGGATTGGAAATGTGAAAAATCCTGGTGTTTAACTCCTTTCTTTGTCTCAGAGTAGTGGCAATTTACCTGCACAGAACACCTGCTCTCCTCCCTAAAGGCAAATGTTGGTGTTAAGTACACAGAGATTTATCAGCAGGTGCTATCTGTACCTTGATCAGAGAGTCCCTGTCACCTGCAGTGTATGAAGCTCCTCTGAATGGTGGAAACGGTGACATTCTGTCAGCATATCAATTTTCCCCTGGGCCTTGCCAGTGGGTCCTGCCAGCAGGTGGCTCTGATTGTTGAGCCCTATTTGAAGACCTCAGATTTCTACACACCCAAGTTTTAGAACCACAGAAAGCTTAAGGTGTGTTCCCCCCACCCTCCACCCCCACCAGATGGCCCACCTGAGGGTCTCCTTCCAGGAAAAGAGAGCAGAGAGGACAAGCTGATAAGAAAAGAAACCCAAGTTCATTGCACAGCCGATCCCCACGTGAGGTGCAGAGAACCACCAACTGTGGGAGAGGGGATCACTGTCTCCACATTTGAGAAAGGGTGGAAAATGGCTCAGGGTCCCAGAGCGGGTTCAAGACAGGATCTCTGCCACAGGTCTTCTCTCCAAGTCCACAAGTAGGAGTGTGCTGGAGTCCACCAGCTCTTCCTACCTCCACATTTACTGCACCATATACGGAGTTTGCTATGGGTCATGTATTTACCCCAGAATGCTGCAAGTCTCTTTTGTTGCCTGGAGATCTGGTTGTTAAGCATTTACTAACACATTGAGGGTGTCATAGGTGCTTGGTGGCTGTGTGCCATGGAGTCGGTTCCAACCCATAGCGATCCTGCACGGCGTTTCCAAGACTATAAATCTTTACAGGAGCAAAACGTCTCATCTTTCTCCTGTGGAACAGCTGATAGTTTTGAACTGCTGACCTTGTGGTTTGCAGCCTGATTCACAACCACTACACTACCAGAGCTCCTTGTCATAAGTGGTTACTAGCAGATTATTGATTGATCTGCCACTGCTGATTGATTTCCCCAGATAAATGCATCTGTTACCTTATTAATCTGTCTTGCGCGTTTCCCTTTTTCAAGAGAATTTGAAACAGGATGGACCAGGGCCACTCTCAGGAGACCTTGAGTGATAATTGCAAGAGTTAACCTTGATTGAGTGCTTGCTAAATGCCACCTTCCATTTCTGGTGATTGGCATGTATAGGCAGTTTTGCTGAACTACACTATGTGGTGGTGGAATTTGTGTGCCATGAAATTGGTTTTGACTCATAGCAACCCTGTATAGGGTTTCTGAGGCTGTAAACCTTTACAGGAGCAGAAAACCTCATCTTTCTCCCACAAGCAGCTGGTAGATTCAAACTGTGACCTTGGGGTTAGCAGTCCAACTCATAACCCACTACGCTACCAGAGCTCCTTATAACACAGTGTATTGTTGTTAAGAGAAGTCGAGTCTGTTCCAAGTCATAGTGACCCTGTATAGTGTTTCCGAGGAAGAGCTGGTGGGTTTGAATTGACAACCTTGTAGTTAACAGTCCAGTGCTTATCAACCAAGAGCCAAAAATATCCTTGCATCTGAAAGATAACAGGGTATATGAGGAAAATATTGTCCCTGGCTGGTACAAATGGTTAAGCGCTTGAGCACGAGCCAAAAGGTTGGCAATTCCAATCTACCCTGAGGTGCCACGGAAGACAGTCATGATGCTCTGCTTCTGAAAGGTCACGGCCTCGGAAATCCTGTGGAGCAGTTTTACCTTGCAATCTTGGGCTCACCAGGAATTGGAGTCACCGCACCAGCAGCTAACAACAATGAGGAAAACAAGACTGGAACAGTCCATTGAAAAGCTATGCAACTTTATAACCACAGCACAGGCACACCTCTGAGCTTTCGCAGGTTTGGTTCCAGAGTCACATGAATATATTTTGGTTTCCCAGTGCATCTCACTGTTATGTTTACACTACACTGTAGACTGAAGCCTGTTAAAACATACAATAGCTTTAAGAAAAAGTTTAAAATAATGGGGAGAATTGTCAAAATGTGACACAGGCACCAAGTGAGCACCTGCTGTTGGAAAAATAGCATCAATAGAGTTGCTTGGCACAAGGTTGCCAAAAACCTTGAATTTGTAAAAAAACAAAAAAGAAAAAACAAAACAAAACTGCAATATCTGCGAAGCACAGTAGGAGTGGAAATGCAATAAAATGAGGCATTCCTGTACCAACCGAGCAGTGGGGACCATGGGGACGATTCAGAGTCGCTGGAGGTTGCCTTGGGAAATGGATGTTGGGGTGCTGCTGCCACTGAGGTGAGCCACAGGGGGAGTGCAGCCTGCTCTAATCTCAGAGTAGTCTCTGTAGGGAGTGGGGCGGCACCCTACACACAGGGGCCCATTGGTAGTTTTCTTAAACTAGACCTGATGGAGTTCCTGTGTGTGTATTAGCTCAACAGAGTCCTTTTCCCTTCAAAGAATCTTCTTCTCCTCCTATGTCAGATCCCTTTATCTGCCAAAAAATCACCTTTGGACCAATGCGATTTGTATATTATACTGCTGCCATTCTTAAATTTACCTGTCACATATGAACTAATTGATGGCACT